TCCCACACTTTGTTCCCAGGCCACGTTCACGTCTAAGCAAACTGAGGCAATTTGGGCAAAAACAGCCAGTGGCTGAAAAGCGTCAGCCACCTCTGACCTGCTTCAGGGGAAGGAGGAGGCTGGGACTGGCTTTTGGGGAGACCTAACGACTGATGTTAGGGAAGGCTTAACCTGGGGGGGACTCGGAAGTCCTGAGGCTCAGCTCAGAAGTGCAGAGATGGGTGGGATATCTGAGCCCCACAGTTGAGGGCCCACATAACGTGAGGCAACGGCCCTCTCCTCCCAGTTTGTCCTCGAGAACAGCAGCCGGGAAGACAAACACGAGTGTCCCTTTGCTCGGAGCAGCATTCAGCTCACCCTGATCCTCTGTGAGATCCTGCACGTCGGAGAGCCGTGTACGTGTGCGCCCCGGCTCGTCCTTCCCCCTGCCCTGCTGGCAGGAGCCGGGGACGAGCTGCCAGGGCAGGGGGCTGTCCGCGTGGGGCCACCAGGCTCTGGTGTGGCCGACAGCAGGGAGAGGACAGGGAGGGAAATGTCCTGGTTTTCCTGGACGCTGAAGTCCCCTGTGGGGAGTCTGGCATCGTCTGTCCTTCTCGCTGCAGGCTCGGAGACAGCTCAGGCCTTTTACCCTATGTTCTTCGGGCAGGATCATTTCTTTGAAGAGCTGTTCTGCATCTGCATCCAGCTGGTGAACAAGACGTGGAAGGAGATGCGTGCCACCCAGGAGGACTTCGACAAGGTACGAGGGGATGCCGAGGGTCCGGGCCACGCACAATTTTGGGGGCTCTGGGGAGCGTCCCCAATCTGGGGGTGACACCCTGGGCCCCGCAGGTGCTGCAGGTGGTGCGGGAGCAGATCACCAGGACTCTGTCCCTCAAGCCCACCTCGCTGGAGCTCTTCAAGACCAGAGTGAATGCGCTGAACTACAGCGAGATCCTGAAGCTGCGGCAGACGGAGCGGCTGCACCAGGAGGAGACGCTGGCTGTGCCCGTACTGTGAGTGGTCTGGGCACAGAGAGCCCAAGCTGCCACAGGGGGGTTATGGGGCCGGGGA